CGGGTTCCGTTTATCAGAGGCTTCATCGTCTTTTTCCATTTTCGGATCACCTCTGCCGCCACCCGTTCGTAGCGGCATTTCGAAGTGGGCGCTCCCGCCAGTTCCTTTTTCCTGTGCCTTACTGTAACTGGGCGGGGGTGATTCGTCGGTTGCTTTCTTCACACCGAACTGACATAGTTGTTCATCCTTGTGCTTATTTGTCACCTGGAGAGCTTTGTTCTCATCTTCCAGTCGTTTGATTTTCAGCTGGAATTCTTCCTGTTGTATTTTCAGGTTAGAATTCTCCTGTTTCACTTTTGCATATGATTATGAAGTTGGAATGTCTTTTCTGTACAATCTTCTCGGTCTCATTTTCCATCTTCTTGATCTGTTCGACTAGCTGGGTCACCTCACCTTCTAACCGGGTGTACTCCTCAGCTGCTGATCTCAGCTGGTTTCTCATTCTGTAGCTTCATCTTCTCTGAGCATTGCCGTTGTCGCCATTTCGGTCAGCTCCGTGTTGAGCCTGATGTTCTCTTCGAGCTGCTCATGGACCTTTCGTTGATTCTCCTTGTCAGCTATCTCGAGAGCTGTGACCATTGTGTCCAGCCGGTATGCTTGAGCCTGCCACTTTTGACTTTCGTTCATGTGAGTTTCTCATTTTCCTCGTTAACCTCTTTAATTCCCCTTTGAGTCGCTCTCCCTCAGTTGCTCCGAGCTCCGTGAGCTCCTTTGCCACCTGGAGTGCCTCATCAGCTCGTTTCTGATGAGCTTGCGACTCCCTTTGGAGGTGGCGATGTTCTCGTCCGCAGCTTCAGATCGTTTCTGAGCTTCAGCATATCTGTTGACATTGTGGCCAGCTTCTGTGTCGCTGGCGAGCTTGGATGCATATTCGTTTCGTTTCAGTTCAGCTTCGTTCGCCTTCTTGCGAAGCTCGTCACACTGATCTTTCAATTCCGCTAAGTGACGTGATCTCTCAGCCGATTCTTCTGACATGCTCTCGTTGAGCTCGTCAACCGCGATGAATTTTTCGACTTCCTTGTCGTCAGCCACCTTCTGGGCTTCTTCAGCGAGCTCCTTTTGACGTTCGTATCTGATCTTCCATTTAGTTGCCTCATTTTCCAGAATGCCCTGCTGTTGCTCCATCTCATATACGTGAGTTTCAAGTGAGCTTATCCGCTTCTGGTATTCCTGCTTCTTCTGGAGCAGCTGGCATTCTTTATCTTCCAGTGACGTTTGTAACTCTCTGACTTGCTTCTTCAGATTCGAGGTGGGACTGTTCGGAGATGGAGATCGGACACTGATGATCTTCCCAGTTTGAGTTCGTTCGATTAGATGCTCGGGTATGTCTTTGAACGATATCATCCCCTCAGCTCGGTCGGCATCCTTCATTGCCGTCCTGAACGACATGTTCATCGTCACATCGTCTTCGGTGAGGTACGACTCTTCATCGTTGAGCTTCTGATTTCGCATCATCTCGTCGAACTGCATTGGGCTCTCAAATAGATCTTCCACTGTGACGTCATCGTCAAGTGAGACATCGCCCAACTTCAGCTCATCAAGTTTTTCGTCATTTGACTGTTCAGTGAGGTCCGGTTTAGTCAGATCAGCATCTTTGACCTGCTCCGATGTGGCAGGGCTGATCTTGACATCATTTTGTGATGTCACATCCACCTCCTTAGCTCGTTGTGAGCTCGTTCCTTCTTTGGTGACCTGCTGGTTCACCTCGCTGTTTCAGCGCCGACGTGGGGATCGTTTCCGGTCGTCGCTGGAGCTCTCCTGACCTGACACTGCTTCGAGTGCCTTTTGGTAGGTCGCATCCGAGCCTCGAGAGTCCTTCCTCTCAAAGGCTTTAGGTGCCCGGGTGCTCCGATCATGTGCGACGGGACGTGTGTATGAGTTCAGGTCCTTCTTGTACGGATTAGGTGCGCCTTGCTGAGATCCGCGGGAGCCTCGACTCCCCTGACTGCTGTTAGATGTCGGTTCGATGATCTCTTTTTCCATCTTTAATCGGATAACTCAGACGCACCTGTCGATTTATCTCACACACACGTTATAGTATGATCGTTATGATCCCTATAGATCACTTTATCAGCTCGAGAGATGAGCTCGGTTCGTTTTAGAAGATCACTTTTTCAATAAAAAGTTCGATAAGCTCACTTCGGAGATGCTGATAATCAATTACGGATGTCAGCTGAGCTGCTAAAGTTCGTTTCGAGTTCGTTGTGAGATCAGCTAATCGATCCAAACTCAACTCAGATCACCTGTTGCTCAGCTCGTTTCAATTAGAATTAGCTCGTTTTAGCTCAGAATAGATCGATTTCGATGAATAAGTTTCGTATAAGAGATCAAATTAGATCATCTCAGCTCATCTATGGAGGTCACTATCAGCTCAGCTCAAAGTCAGAGATCGATCTCAGGTCCGACTGGTCAACTTTTTAATCAACTTGTTTCGATCGAAAACAGCTGCTACTAGCTCGTATCAGATCAACTATGATAAGAAAAGATCATTTACATTACTTGGGAGCTCGTGATGAGATCGTCTAGTTCAATTTTACCGGTAAAAATTTCGACCAATCACAGCTCATATAACTGACCAATCACGGTGACCTGTTAAAATTTTCTGACCTGCCTGACGTCACAGATCGACGACCAGACTTGCGCGCCGAGTGCAAAAGTTCCGCCTCCGTCTAGCTCAGCTCAGTAAGGACCAATGAAATTTGCGCTTTTTACGCGCTAGCCAATCCGATAATTAATAACGGTTTTTACCTGTTTACCGTTCCGATTTCCGCCAAAAATGATCCAGATGATCGCGTTTCTTCTCCACGATCCGATCCCGCGCAGCCGTATTCCGCACGGTTTTGGCGCCTTCCTTTTCCGACCTCGTCTGCCTTCTGCTGGGCTTGTCAGGCCTACCAGCAGGTCGCTCTACAGCCAATTTGGTGGAGCGCGTAAAACTGAACTCTTTGGCACCTCCTTCGGTGCTGCCAACTTTCGTGGCTTCTCGGCGCCTGTGCCCAGCAGCCTCGTCCTCTACAGAGGATCTCGCTGCCTAGCAGTGGTAACAGCACAAGTTCTCCACAGGAGAGACCTGCACCGCGGCCAGCTGCCGTCTGACTTGAGAAAACACGAGACAAGATCTCCACAGGAGATACTTGACTCAGTGTTGCCGCTCCCGCTGGCAATCCGTTGAAATGCGCCTTGCTTCGGATGAGAAAACCAGTGCCTTACTGGTACAGTCGATCAATGTCGATCGATCCAGATTCCACGTGGCCGTTCGCCAAACAGATCAATATGGCCGTTCGCCAATCGGATAAAACTCGAGCACCGCAGATTTTACGGGCTCTGCTACCATATAACGTGGTACTCTGGAAGAGTCCAGGACAGTGATCTCCACTGACAAGATCCTGCGTTGTGTGAAATGCTATCAATACTGGATAAATGCACAACGCACGGCATCCACTAGCATAGACACACTTTATTGAGTGAAATCCAACTCACATCAACACTGACTGAACACTGGCAAATCTGCCAAGCGAAGAGCCAAATCAACGCTGCTTCGCAGCGCACATGACGCGCCCACACAAAGCAAACACAATGAACGGCACATCAACCAATCAGAAGAGACACAACACAGACACGTCATCCGCTTGACGCCACAGGCGTGAGGGTGTACGTGAGTGCAGCCATGGCTCTCAGGTAGATTACTGGAACCATAACACATATTGCTGAGTTGAGTCTCGTTTTTAGGTGCTATTCCGTCTGCGGAGCTCCGCACGGCCTTTCTATTTCCAATGTGGCGCCCTCCGGATCAGAGAATAAAAAAATCAGAAACGAAATGAAAAAGCAGCACTAATCTAAACTGCCATCAAAATCAAACACAGTTTTGATTGCATATTAGCGGGCCATTAGCAGGGAATGTTCGGCTTTTACTGCTTTTCAAATCTTATGCTGTTTGACTAATAATTCCATGATGATTGGATAGCCCGCACCAATCGGCACATTGTTATCGTTACGCCTAGTGGTTTCGCACAAATGTGGTTTAGGTGAAACTCGGCTACTCACAGAACGGATAGAGTTCGATAAGCCAATGCGAGCGGACATACTAACGTGCTCCGTTGATATGTGAGTCATATCAACGCAACACGCTACGATCTCACTTTTTCGGAGGTGTGGCGTGTTTACAGCAGAAATGTTACTGTAAGCGGCTCCGCAAGTTATACCACAGGTTTGTGCACGGAAAACTGCACCCACGCAGCGTGTGCATGCCCATGCATTCGCCTGCGATCAATGCACACTCTGGGTACTGTTTTCCCGTGCACAAACTCTGTGGTATAACTTGGTGGAGCCGCTACAGTAATGCTACAAAGTAGCAACTGTACAGGAGAGGAAGGCCTGATCATCAGTGACTTCGTCATTCAAATCACAAATTCATCGTCTCGTTTTACCGTACACTCAACCGAAGATCAAAACACAATCGGAGAACTTCGGAAATGCAGCACACACAAAGCGAGACTCCCAGTTCCCGAGGCTCAGCCTGCAAAATCAGATAAAGCAAATAATGTTAAATAGGAAAACAAAGCAGACTTCTCTAATGCCAGAGACCGGAAACGCACCACTGACCTTTACACTGTGATCGCAACATTCAGTCTGACAAGAAATCCATGAACTTCTTTGTGCTCTTCACCAGTCCACCTGCCGAACGGAATTCCCTTTGGGACCAGCCTCTCTGATTCTCGTTTGCCATTCTGAGACTATTTGTTACCATGACCAATGAATTTTTCCTTCATAGATACACCAGCCAAAGAACATTGGTGTAAGACTGGACTGTACCCCAATCGTTGCTGTTCTCCTCGCGCATTGCTCGGATAAGTGCTTATTGCCAGCGATAGCTGTGTGGTGTCTGTTCAAAATTTCTAACAGATTTTTGGGGCACAGTTCAAAGCTAATCCGTTACAAAACACTGCAAGCACCAGGGCAATTTTTTTATAAAGAACCTGTCAACTAGATTCGTAGTTTAAACTGACAGTTTCGAAAGCTTAAAGTGACAGATTAGAAAATTTAAAGAAACCCAGAGTTTTGAAAGACTTCTAGAATGTCTGACCATGACTTTGTATGTAGCCGCGAACATCGCGCTTTAACAAAATGCAGTTGTAAGACACAAAATATTTTCCAAGTGTGTGTCGAGCGCCCGGCTGCTGTATGTCTTGCAAATGATGCTGACTGGTTAATGGTTATAACTGAACATAACGCGGACGGTGTCCTCCAAGCGGCCCGGTATTTGGGAAATTTTGTCTGAATTTGACACTCGTTTGGATAGTATCCATGGGCTATACTGTTGCGGGGGCTGCCGAAACGGTAAAGATCACACTGCCTAAATTCGGATTGCCGATGAGGAGAACCCCCTACACACAAAACAATATTCACATCAACTTTGCAGCTACAATATTTTGCTATGTTTTTGAGGGCGGGCGAGAGTCGTGCCACTTGTTTTTTGTTTCAACGTTGAAGTTTGGAAATCATGCGTGCTGCGTGGTAATGCTATGAGCGTGTTATGTATGGTCCCATCTCATGCTAATTGGGACAAATTCTTTATTTGAATTGTTATTATTTAGCGATCGCTCGCTTTGTACAATATATTGCACATGTGAACGGGACCCCGTTGTGTCTGGACTTCGGGCTCATTAACTTTGGCTGCTTTGTAGATCCTATCTCGTTTAGATCCTATCCTACCTCGGATCCTATCAGTGCGATTACAAACACATTCGAATAAAATAAATCACATTCTAAGCTTCATTTTAACCAATGCTACGGGCTTGAACCCGGTAGTCCAGTTATACGTGGTCCCTAGCTCTGTTTGTGAGCTAAGCAATCGCTGCCGCGTCGCTCGCCTGGAGCCTGACGTTGCAAGTGTTTATCTACCGCGTCCATTTTAATTATATGGCTAAGGCTATTTTGCCGCAGTTTTCTACAGTGTGTCAAAATAGCCTTTTGCTATTTTGCCGCACACTGCGTTAAAATAGCCTTTAGCTATTTTGCCGCAGTATGGTAGGCAAAATAGACATTTGCTATTTTGCCGCGCACTGCGTTTAAAAAGCCTTTTGCTATTTTGCCGCAAATACTCCGGCAAAATAGCCACTTCGTAATTATATTCGTAGCCGACATGTGATTCTCCGACGATCGGCATATCATTCCAAAAACAATTTATATATGACGATCGTCATCCGGCAGTTTATATCTATATTTATGTCCAATGATCGACACGCGCGCCCAGACGAGCGTCTTTTGGCAGTGTGCTATACGTTTTGTGATGGCCAGAACAGGAAGTATATATATAACATAATAGTACCTGTATTACAATTCTATGATTAATAATATGAGTATGGCACAATTATAGACACAATTAAAACTGCACTGGGAGTGCAATCCCAGTGCACGTGAACTGGTGTTGAGGAACGACGGATCAATAAATAATATTATTTCCGTACCGCGCTGCTGGCAGGAAGAGATATTGTGGGTGGAACGGCAGGGTAAGGAATGCCAGTGGAGGAGGAATATGCGTTCCCATTTATGATGATGTGAGCCTGACCGGAGACCTGCAACGGATGGCGTTGAATTATTTCTTCGGAGTTCGTGAATGCGATCGCTCGATGCGACAGAAATCCCTACGTACGTACGTGTACAGTCGTACACGTACAGGATACTAAGCTAGGGATAAACCTGGGAACATTTCTACTTGTCACTCACCAAAGTGTTACTGGTTCTGGTGAGCTGCAGCGAAACAAAAATGAGAAAATTTAGCTGCAGCGAAACAAACGAAACAAAAATGTTCTGCAGATTGTGTATTGATAAGAATGCTGGCAACCAGTACAGTAATGTGAATTTAATATCATCAGTGTTTTACTGTCAAAGCGCTCCCAGGTGGTCCGACGATCTCGTACAAACAAAAACCCATACTGGTGCTACCTGCATCCAATTGTAAAGTGGTTGTAGTGGCAAGCGTGAGTTGAACGCAGCCCCCGCACTCTAAAAAGTAGTAACCATTTCTGATTGTTGAGTTCTAACTAAGGGCGTATGGAGATTACATCAGGGACCTTTGTTCTCCAGCACTTACTGCCGCCGCCAGACAGAATGCCTGAAGTAGCGCATCTCGTGTCCAGCGGTGTCGTTGTGGTCGTCGTCATCGTGGTGGTAGTGGTGGAACTGGTGGTGGTGGGCACCGTTGGACAAGTAGGTGTCGTTGGACATGCCGGGGTCGTTGCAGAACACACCGGACACGACGTGGTACTCGGGCAGGTTATTGCGCTAGGGCAAGTTGTCGTAGCTGCAGAAACACACCGCAATGGCACACTAATTCAGCAGTTAAACTCTTAAGTTCCATAAAATATTAAGGTATCCTATACTTACCGGAATCCGCTTAAATCTATGCCAAATTTCTTAAATAAAATATTTTATTTAAAGCTAATATACACTTGGACAGTGTGCACGTGGGCACAGAGCGAACTCGAGAATACGTACTTATTATCAGTCATTCTTAATATATATGTGTAGATGTAGTCAGTAAACGAAGCGTCCAACCTGGAATGAAGGAGCACGAGCGTGCTTGGGCCAGCGTGGCATGCGTACGTGTGAACGGTAAGGTCATCCGCGTTAGATGTTAGGATTTTTTACAGGGAAGTCATACGCGTACACTATGACTACGAGCAAGATTATTAGAGTGCAGGAAGTCGTAGTGCAAGCGCTAGCTAGCCAATGCAGTCCAAGATTGGCCGTCAAAGAGTAGCAATCAGCATTAATGTTAAATGGTCGAAGTGTAAGGAAATTACAGTGAATACCACAATAATATAGAAAAGATATAAATGATGGAAAGTACAAGGCGCACTTTACGTTACACATACGAGTACCTGTATGTGCAGCAAAATTAAATCGCACCATTGACACATTAATGATATATAGACAACGGTCCGGCAAAGAGGTGGATCCAAGAATCCACTTTTTTGTCGGCGGGGTATACATGTATGACAAACAGAACATGACTATATTACTGTTCTCCGCACCAAGATTATTAGCTAATTTTAAGCAGCTTACTTGTTGCGGTAGTTGTGGGATAACGTACACATTTAGAGCCATCCTGATAAGACAGTGAAGGATCACAGATACATTTCCCGTTAGCGTTACAAATCGATGCCGAGTCGGCACAGCGGTGCCCAATACCGGCACAGTGGCAGCTGAGGGCGGCCCTGGAGGTGGATCCAGCGCAGGACATTTCAAATGTGACATCAGCGGGACTGCCGACGTCCACCAACTTGCGGGTTAATGCTGGCGTGTCTGCCTGGGCGCTGGAACTGGGAGCGGCGGTCAGCAGAGTAGGCGCAGGGGATTGTCTGGCGGTTTGTCCGAAAAAGCTAAAGATACCTAGCGGGAGAACCTGTTGACCAGTCGTCTCTTGATACTGCCAAGCTATGCTGCTTAAGGCCAAACACATCGAAAAAATCCTCGCCATCTCTGCACTCTGGAGCCAACGCTCGAATGAAACGGTTAGTCATTGTCAGAACATCTCGCAACCGTTTCTCCAACCGAGTTGCTGCGAACGGCATCAACAGCGGCAGAAATTTCCATTACAATGGCGGTATCAAGGTGAGAACGATCGTTCTGTCCGTGTAGGCGAGATTGACAGCGTGATTGCCGTTGTCGCATGATACTTCGCGCGTGAAATGCCTGGACCGTTAGACACGTATTCAACAAAAGTTTACGGACTAGTTGCCGGCGCACCGCCAGACAGTTTTGTTTAAAGACACGCGGTCACTCGAGACCTCAATTTTGGTAACGCCGACATTTCGCGGTTAAAAATTTTGCCAGCCTATTAGAGTTGACACCGATTTCCGCTGTGCGTCATCCCAGCAGAACTACGTCAAGAAAAAAATGTATTTATTAAAGAATTAAATAAATATTTTATGTGTTTATACTTGCCCTCGGAGGTCATAAATAATCAGTCGTATACATGTAATTACAGTTAAAAAATATTGTCCATAAAGCGTGGCTAGAGCTACAATCGGACATGCGTTCGGTACCCTTTTTTAACTGCAGTCACGTGTTTACCGTAAGTTCATTGGGCGGTCGCAGCGGGCTACTTACGTATAGTTGTATACCCTATAGTGTTCTATTCTTTTGCAGTCACCGCCTATTGGTATCAAAAAACAAACGTTTTGTTGTCTACGTCGTCCATGTTTGTTCAAGTTAAAGAGAGGTGCATGTGTTCAAGAAGACAACGAATTATCTATAGATTATTAGTTACGAAGCTCATAAAATGTATTTCGTAACTAATATCCTAGAAGTCTAGACAACTCGTTGTCTTTAAAATGTTATTCGACGCATCTACAAAATATTATTTAACGCATTGTTGCGTCTTTACCGACTGCGTGGTTGTACTTGTACAGCTGCTATGGTGTTGTGCTATTCGCAACGGTGCGGTGCTGTTTACTTTTTTAATAAGGTTCAGTTCTGAATATTTTGTATGTTTATATCAGTTTGTCATGCACAAGCCCAGAAAGTCAATCATTGCTTAGTTAAATAAAGATCCCAACTGAAGCCCTCAGTGATATTAGGAAACCTGCACAAAAGCAAACAAACATCGAAATTGTTTTTTGGACTATATACTGAATTTTCTCTCCCAGCTCGTACCTACCCTTTAGACAGCTTACGGTATTAAGCGTACCCGATACCCAACCAGCATTTGCGTGATATATGATAAAGGTCAGCAACGGTTGCCGAAAACACTCACCAGAGATTCCAGCTATAAATATTCTTGAAGTCCGCCGGCTTACTGCCTGCAGGTGGCGGTTTTCTATGATAAGTGCTCTCTGCAGTTCTCAATGTCTTTTTCGGTAGTTCAACAATGCTTTCGGGTACCCGACTCCGTGTGAACTGGACCGTGGAAACAGTGAACTGTCGATTAAAGAATTCAATAGAGGTCGAAGCAAATTGTTTCAGACTCTGATAGCCATAGGTCACTTTAAAACCAGCGCGTAACGGAATCCGTCATATATTATTTTCTTACAAATTTAAACATATTTCCGGCTATAAGAGCATCAGGATTTTACGACGTAGAGGGTTTTTAAAAGTTCTAAATGCCAGCGCGCTCGTGCTAGTGGTCATCACAAAAGACCGGTCAGCAGCTCAAAACATCTCCAAGTAAAACAAATACTTCTATGCGTTTTACCGCGAGAAATTCATTTTGTTTCTAAAACCATTTTGTTTGTTTATTAATTTTGTTTTAGTGTAAAAAAAACAATAATTAGCGCCAAACTGACTTAAATTAAAAAGTCATCCTTAATTTAGAAAAAAGATTCTGGATCAGGAAAATTTGCTGATTTTGAATTTGTAATCGGTTTTGGAAAGAATAAAATCCTAGCCAGACAACATGCTTTGCTGGTATCCTAATGAAGCTCACGATGTAATCCAAAACAACCTCCATATATCTCAAGCTGAAGCGGGAAAATTGGCATAACTCATGTTATTTAGACGAACTCTTTCCATTGCAGTCCGTGTTCACGGACGGCGTGGGCGCGTTGGCACTTCATTCCCTCCGCTTATTCCTTATAAGAATCGCGACTTTGTGGAGTTCATGGCATAGCTGCCTTCAGTTTAGCGATGCGAGAGGATGTTTAAGTACAAACCGTGACCTTTATAGTATTTCACACTATAGCGAAGTAATCAATAAGTATATTACTGCGACCTTTCATTAACTTTAGAATACACTTCATGGCTCTTTCCGAAACTCTGTTCTTAAAATTAGTGAAGGAGACTGTCGTAGCGTAGTGGACATTTATCTGGGATCTGCTTTTTGACGTCGTGGTCAACGACGTGAACTACTGTATACCTGTCTGGAGGACACTATGAAATATCTGCACCGCAGTTACAGACCCTTGGAATCCTGCCAATTGGGTGTCAAACTAAGCCCGCGGTAGAACGACATGTTCCGCTGGACGGCGTGTCTGCCCAGCACTATGTCACCGCCATCTTTTCCCTCAAGGAACCAGCCACACCGGACGAACAGTACGAAAGCCGCGGAATAGCCGGAGACTGTCGCCGCCGCTGCCCGCCTACTACCACATCTTCAACTCCAACCACACCCGCACCCTGTGGGGCCACATGCCAACGAGGACAAACGCGGCAACGACACAGCGAAAAAGCTCTACCGGACTCTGCATTCGGCGCTTTTTCACAATCCGCAGTGGACGGGACAGGGCACGCCCAACGTCTGCACCTGCCTGGATTATTACAGGAAGCAGCTGAAACGCCGCTGGCCGGGGCGATGACTTTGATCTGTTGCGGTTGGCCAACAACGGGATTCTGCTGCTGAACGTCGCCCTGACTCGCAGTGCTGGCGCCAAGAACGCCGAAGAAAAGCTGTGGTGTGCGTTCAGCCGGGCGCTGATCCTGAAACTCAGCGCGGATTATCCGCACCGGATTCTGTTCCAGTTTTTTGGGTCGCATGAATTTGACGCGTCGAAGATGTACACCAGCGGGATAACGATTAATTTGCCGCATCAAGGTAATCTGCCGAATTATGCTGAGTATAAGACTGTGGAGTATACGCGCTTGAAACTGAATGCACCGGAGGAAATGCAAAATCCCTACCTCCCCGTATGGCGGACAAGGAGGAAAATCCGGTGGATGTGTCAGCACGAGGCAGGCGGGTTGAGGGCGTGGAAGCGGTCATCGCCATGCTGAAGAACGGTTTCCCGGCAGACGATGCAGTGGTGCCGGAATGCCCAGCGGAGATTATGCTGCTAATTTCCAACTGACCCGACAGACGCTGGTGGCTTTTCTGGGGAATCCCGCTAATTGACGCTGATGGACGATGATAAAGACTTGCCGGATCGACTATTAAGAAGGATGACAATCGCCACTTTAGCACGCTTTTGGTGCCTTCTGGCAAAAAATACAAATGCCGGCTACCGTTTCAAGGATGAATGCACATTATCTGACATACAAGCTGGTGTTTTCCTTAGTAACTGCTATACTTCGCACAGATATACTGCTGCTGCTGATTGGCTGGCTGGCTTTCCTGCTTTCATACGATACTTAGAGAAAAACATACAAAATTTCTTGCAGTTCCATCGGTTTTATTTATTTTGTCCATTTTTCCGGTGCGTATTTTCCGGTATAGGTGATTGTTATTGCGGAATTACGAATATGATAGAAACGAGCTTATTGTTTTTTTTAATAAATGCTAAAAACCATAGAAATAACTGTACACGAATGCTTGCTGATTAATTTACAGTTAAGCTACCTGCAGTCCTCTGCGTAAATACTATGAGATGCCTGTAGTATTAAATATTTGTACAGACGCAGAATTTGTGCTATGATTTCTAATTGATGTCATCGTTTAACTACCGGAAGTGTACAATTTCTCCCCTCAGTAATACATGTATAGTGTGTATACTGTACATAATCAGCGTTAATAATTTGCTTGCGAGTATGTGAAATTGTGAATCAATGTAGCATTGTTATTTACGCTTATTGCGCTAACATAGACAGACATTTTTGTACAATAAACAGTTATAATTAAATCTTGTAAACGCCATTCCAGGGACTTATGGCATTTGTTTAAAAATCTGAATCGCTTGCTTGTGGAACGTCAACGAAGGCTGAATATACCAAACACACATTTTCGCTCGTTTAATAATTCAATACCAACTGTATGTCACGCAGATAAAATAGGACAGGGTCTTAATATGGAACTACATACGTAACAGGCAATAGCCAAAAAAACAGTGGTTGTAGGTGCTGTTTCATTTGTAAGCATCAAAAAAGCAAATTGAGTCTCCACTCACTCTCCCGCTTCCTTTACAAGATAAAATACTCAAAATATATTTTGAATACGGCTATATAGCCGTATTGCTTCTTTTAGCAACCGCTGGACTGAAAGTCTGAAATGCTGTTTGAGCCGCACACTTACAATATAGCGCCTATCCGGTTCGGTTTGACATAACTATTGACATGTTTAAACTGGTAAGGTTATCACAAAGTATCAATCAAATCTAATTGTGTCCTGCCAGATTTGCCGACAAAATGTAATACACGAAGGATACGCGATCATTCTATCTTATTCTCCTGATATCCGGAAACCCGGTGTATTTCAACCAACCAAAAAATGCCGCTTTATTTTGATAGCCCGGAGCACACTAATTACTTCACAAGGACAAACTATTTACTGGCATATCCAGGTGATCACCCTCACAAAGTCGATCCACCCCAAGAACCCTAACAAAGCCGCAACATTCTTTCACCAACAACTTATAAATAGACGCCATATCAATGTATCAATTTTTTTGTCGGATGGCTTCTCCGTTGAAATGATTGTTTGTACAGAATATCCGGCCATATCACATGTTCATCAGCATTAAAATGATCATTAGATTCAATCATTCAGTACGTCACAACTGGTCATATATGGGCAACACTCAGTTCATTCTGACTTCATGCATAAGAACAACAACATCGATACTGAAGTATC